CCATCCAACAAGAACACAACATCTCGTACTGTTGGCTTTTTCTCTACTAGGGAAGGAAAATGTGATGGAATTTTAGCTTTGGATTTCAACATTTTCTTGTGTGTAGATCAGATGATGAAAACAAGTGTTAACATTTTTGAAGTTGGTCTTCTTACCAATAACAGTTGGGAATTCAGTTGTTTCATGAGCACCTCTCAATGTGGCTTCCAGAGATGGATATATGCTTTGTAGATTGTTAAAATTTCTGACATAAAAATAATGTGCTGGTGTGAAAGCTATGGTTTGCATTTCCAAGGTATCAGCATTATTTGTTCCAAAGCTAAAAGTCTTTATTCCATTTTCTTTAAGTGACTGCGCTGGTCCTCTGACATCATCCCCTGATCTCCCACCGCTAAATATATAGAGATATTGAGGCACTGATTCTGCACGTCTGCCTCCAACTGAAGCAGAAAAGACATTCTCTATAACAAAAGCCAGTGCTCTGCCAATGTTGATGGGTCGTCCCAATTTATGTCTCATTGTTCTGATGGAATTCAGCACATCATCCTGGGATGAATAGGAATTCAAGTAGAAATTGACTGTGGCATTCCGGCTGTATTGAACAACAGCCACTTGGTCTCTGTTATCACCTAAATTTAAATTTGCAACAATTTTTTCAATAAAACTTCGTATCACTTCAAAGTTGTTCCTTGAGTCATATGATCCATCAATAAGGAACACTACATCATTTTTCTTGGAATCTGCAACAAAGATGAAAAATGCAGAATCAATGTAATTTTCTGCAGAGGAGAGGTAACTACAATGACATAATTTCCCATTCTCTACTTCACTTTAATAAATAATGTTTCAGTAGAACAGTAAAAGTTTTCATCTTACCAAAGCCCTTTGCGGGAGCAGTTTGCTCAACATATTGAGAAGTCTCTCTTAAGAATGACAACACATCCTTCTGAATAGTAGGAAGTTCCTCATAACCAGTAATAGACAGTGCATAATTGGGTTCATGAGATATTGTCTGTAGCTCTAGGGTGTCAGCATCAGTTGTACCAATGGCGATTGAGATGACACCAATTTCTTTCAGCATTCTGACTGGAGTTCTAATGTCATCTCCAGATCTTCCACCACTGAGTAGTATCAGTATCCGCGGAACTCCCTCTAGGAGTCTACTTCCAGACTCAGAAGTAAATACATGGTCCTTTACATACTGGAGAGCTGCTCCAATGTTGTGAGCATAACCTCCCTTAGGACTTAGATCTCTTACTGCATCAAGAACATCATCCTTTCTTGAGTAACGTCTCAAGTTAAAATTCATTTCTGCAGTGTTGCTGTACTGAACTACAGCCACACGGTCTTTGCTAGCATCAATGTTTAGGTCTCCTACTATTCTCTGCACAAAGTTTTTCATATCTGGAAATCTTCGCTGAGAATGATCAGAACCATCAAGTAAAAAAGCAACATCTCGTCTGTCAGGATCTGTAATCACATAGGGATTTACACTAATTGGTTATAATGAAATTTATGATGAAAAGTGTTTTATGCTGCAAATGTTCAATAATGATGCATGCACAACTTTGTTGATGCATCCACACCTCTTATGACTCTTCAACTCTTCTGTTTTTGCTATAGTTTCTTTCTCTCCTGTGTTTCATATGTGTTCAGTCTTTGTATGTCAATTTGTGTAACTTGACTCTCATTATTAGTGAAATAGTCCAAAAATTGATCAATGTGTTTGTGATCATGAGTGATAAAGCCCACTAATACAGCTACATTTATGAGTGAATAGGCTGAAAAAGCTGAATTTTAAATTTTTATCCCTATTAAGTGTAATGTAAGTTAAATTAACATTTTTGCTATGAAAAGACTGAAAATTCTTTTTTTCCCCTAAATAAAGCTAAAATATTTTGTTTACAATGCAGTTGCCATCATCCACTTCACCATTTGGAAAAATGTAATGCATCTTTGATTTGATGGCCAAAAGATGTCACTGCCACAAGGGGCTACCAGTCTATTACTGTTCACCATTCACCTTCAGTTGAAATAAATCAGTACTGGTCTATCTCAACCTGACAATGCAGGAAGTTGTGCACGCAGCATAAGATCTTGTCACTGTAGTCTTACCATATGATGTTGGTTTGACAGCAGGGGTTTCACCCTTCTGGATGGCTGAAAATATCTGTTGTTCAATGCCTGACATATCACTGTAATCCACTGCAAAGAAAGCATGACTAGCTTCCTGTGAAATAGACTGAATCTCAAAGGTATTTGCATTCTTTGTCCCCACGACAAATACCATCACACCAATTCCTTTCAAGTTTTCTACAGCATTTCTGACATCATCACTAGTACGTCCTCCAATTAAGAGAACTAAAATCTGAGGGACACCATGTTGATGCCTGCTTCCAGAAGAGGCTGTAAAAACATTATCCTTGATGTACTGGAGGGCTGCACCAGTATTGAGAGGTGTGCCTCCTTTATGCCTCAGGCTTCGCACATTGTCCACAACATTCTGCTGTGTTTTGTATGTGTTCAGAAAAAATTCAACCGAAGGTTCCCTGCTGTACTGCACCACTGAAATGCGATCCTTGTTCTCATCCACACTGAGTTTCTCCACCATTCGTTCAACAAAGCCAAGCATTGCCTGAAATTCATTTCGCATTTCATTTGATGAATCCAGTAAAAATACAACATCACGTTGAATGGATTCAGCTTGATCTGTAGAACCTTTGACAGACACAAGGACGATGCTCAGTTAGAGATACACATGAAATTATCCAAGGTAGATAAGATAGATAGATAGCCTTACCTAATACAATCTGTGATTTTAGTCTTGGCTGCTGCCGAGGCAGCCTTTTCATAAATGACACAAGTTGTTGATGGATGCTCCCAATATCATCAAACCCAAGTACAGAGAAAGCATAGGAAGGGTTATGTGCAATCATTTGGAGCTCAAGTATGTCTGCGTTCCTTGTACCTATGCAGAATGGGACAATTTTGTCCTGTTTTAGAGCCTCAGCTGCACTTGCAACATCATCTTGAGATCTTCCCTCACTCAACAGAATCAGTATCTGAGGGATGCCTTCTTGATGCCGACTCCCTGAGGAGTCAACAAAAGCATTATTTCTCACATAGTTCAGGGCTGCACCGGTGTTGAGGGGTTTGCCGCCTTGATGGTTCAGCTCCTGGAGAGCTTTCAAAATATCTTGCTTTTCTGTGTAGGTGTTCAAACTGAAATGTGTCTGTGGCTCTCTGCTATACTGAACCACAGAAACACGGTCTTTGTTCTCACCAACACTGAGTGTTTCTACCACTTTTTGGACAAAACCCTTCATTGCTGTGAAGTCACTCCGTGTGTCATCTGACCCATCCAATAGAAACACTATGTCTCTTTGAGGGGACTCTAATTCAACTAGAAAAGAACAAAAAAAAATCTTTGTTGAGAATCAGACATGTAAAGCATACACTGAAATATATTGTGGTGCAACAATTACACACACTAATTACTACAATAAAAATGTGTTATATGCCAGAAAATTTAAGAAACTGGTAGGTGAAAAATTATTTAAAATGCAGACTAAAAATCAACTAAACATTCAGTCAATGATGTGATCATCATTGGCTCAAGGTAGAGCTTTACAACAACAGAAAGAAAGGCCATTTGCTGATGTTGGGCTGTCAAGAAGATTCCCCAAGGTGCAAAAACAAAAGTGATGAGATCCATACTACAAAAAACAACATGTTAGATGCCAGAAATTTTAAGAAACTGGTAAATTAAGAAATTATTAAAAACACAGAAAAAATTTGAAAATAAGGAGCATATTCTTCAACTCTGTATATTCAGTCAATGATGTGATTATCATTGGCTCAAGGTAGAGCTTTACAAAAACAGAAAGAAAGGCCATTTGCTGGTGTTGGGCTGTCAAGAAAAGATTCCCAAAGGTGCACAAAGACAATTGATGAGAGCTGAACAAGAAACAGCATATCCAGGAACTTTAAGCCAGTGGCGAGTTTGAGAAACATGAAACTGATCAACTGAAATTCTTCTGAAGATGATGCAGTTTCATGACAGTTCAAACTACGAAAGACAAAATGTGCAAGAACATACAATAAGTGGGGAGTCAGATTCAGCTATGAATCAGTGGCACATCTTACCTACAACAGTAGGAGGCTCGATTTGTTTTTCCACCTGGACAAATGCAGCTATCTCTGGTTGAATGGACAAAAGTTCACCAAAAGTGGGCAAGTTGAAAAGAAATCTGGGGGACAAAGCCATTTTGTTAAGCTCCTCCTGTTTAGCATTTTTCATCCCAATGGCAAATGACAAAACACCAATGTGTTTTAGGTCTGATGCCGGACCAGAAACATCATCATCAGATTTTCCACCAGTCAGTAAAAACAGAATCTGCGGGACGCCTTCTTGGCGTCTACTTCCAGATGAAGCTGTGAAAACGTGGTCTCGCAAAAACTGCAGAGCAGCTCCGGTGTTCCGCAGTCTTCCTCCCTTATGACGAAGACTTCTTACAGCATAAATGATGGCCTTTTTGGATCTGTGAGTTTTTAGGTTGAAGTATATTGTGGTGTCCTTGCTATACAATACAAGAGCCACTCGAACCTTATCTTCGTCAATGTCCAGGTCTTCTGCCATTCTTCTGATGAACTCTCGAATAGCTGGAAGTCCATTTCGGGAGTCATCTGATCCATCAAGGAGAAACACTATGTCCCTCTTACTGCTCCCTGCCTCACAGGGTGATACATGGATAGGTAGGAAGAGAATTCACGAACTGCGCTTTAAAGATTTTACTACACTTTGGCATATTGATCAGCATGAGCAAGTTCAATGTGAAAGGACAAATGGCCTATTGCTCTGAAAACGTCACTTCAAGAAAAACTGCTAAAGAGCTGTCTTTTTATCACAAAGATATGACAGAATTTGTTGATTCAAGTTCAAAGTAACATCGAAGTGGACATTTGCAAGGAAGCATAAAAGAGAGCTACTTTATGGAAAGCCTTGTAAAAACAGAATAGCTGACAAAAAAAAATTATGGCAAGACTAAACATAAAGGTCATGTTACAGAAATGTTCCAAAATATTTCAGAATTGTCATCTTATAATCAGTCAATTAGGATTTTATGTCAAATATGTGTGAGAGAAAGAGTTATTCGGAAGAAATAATAAATATTAGAAATAATAATAGTAATTTACTTATGTAACAATTTACTTCCATTGTAGACAAATATTCAAATTCTTACCTACTAAATCAGAGATTCCAGTCATGGCTTCCTCATCGCCATTGTTCAGTGCAGCAACAAGTTGTGAGTGGATTGAGGGCAACTTGCTAAAATCAGTCACCTTGTATGTTAAACCAGGATCAAAGGCAATCAGTTCCAACTCTGACCGACTAGCATCTCCCACTCCAATTCCCACTGATACAATTTCATGGTCTTTAAGAGCTAAAGCTGGGCCTTTTACATTATCAGTGGATGGTTTGCTACTTAGAAGAAGTAAAATCTGAGGCACTCCTTCTAGTCTTCTACTTCCCATGGAGGCGGTAAAGACACTATGTCTCACAAACTGGAGTGCTCTCCCAGTTTTAAGACGCCTCCCACCCTTGTGCCTTAAATTATCAATGGCATTAATGATGTCATTCTTTGTCTTGTGAGAATTTAGATAAAAGTTGGCCTCAGAGGTATCAGCAAACTGAACAACAGACACTCTGTCTTGGCCCTCACTGACAGAGAGTGTCTCTACTATGCTCTTAACAAAGTTTTTTATCTCTGGGAATCCATGTCTTGTGTTATCAGAGCCATCCAGCAGGAACACAATATCTCTTTTTACAGCATCACTTTGTACTAAGACACAACAAATTCAAAATAAAGATTCAGTTATTATGGTGGAGCCCACACAAACCATTTTTCAGCAAGTTAAATATGCCAATAAGAATAATATTTTTTTCTTACCTTGCTCTATGGTGATGATCATCTGTTCCCTTGGAAGGCTCACATAGCTTTTGATCCTTTCTGGTACAGTGCTAAGCTCAGTGAAGTCATTCACTTTGACGGCTAAAGAAGGGTTGTATGACATCGCCTCAATCTGCTTTGGGTCTGCATTCTTGACACCAATACCAAATGGTACCACACCTTCTTTCTTCAGGACACCAGCAGGCTCTTTCACATTATCCCTGGACCTGCTTGCAGTCAAAATGATCAGTATCTGAGGGACTTGTTGTGCACCCCGGCCTCCATTCCTTTCAGAAAAGATGTTGTCCTTCATGAATTTTAGAGCATTTCCTGTGTTTAGATTTTGTCCACCAACCGGTGACATCGTGTTGACAGCTCTTGTCACCTCATCTTTGGTTTGGTAAGTGTTAAGATAAAAAGATGGAATGGGCCTCTCACTGTGTTGGACCACGGAAATTCGTACCTTGTCAATCCCAATGTCGAGTGGTTCAATTACTTTAAGGATAAAATTCCGGATGTGGGTAAAATCTGCTCGAACGTCATCTGTGCCATCAATGAGGAAGGCAACATCTCTTTCAACTCCTGAAACAAAAACTGATGGAAAACAAAAAATAGAATTAGCTGTTACTCTGGAAACATTTAATTGTAGTTTCATATTCTTACACCACATTTAAGTTCATTTATAAAAGAAGAAATACAAAACTCACCAGTTTCCTCAGTTACTGCTGTATCACCAACAACTGTGATCAACTTTGGCATGATTATTTCAGCCACAGCTGGCAAATTAGAGAACCTTGCTTCATGGTAAGCCAAATCCTCAACAAAGGCAACTGTTTTCAGGAGTTCTTCATCTGCTTGGCCAGAACTGACTGTAAAGGTCAAAATGTTTTGCAGAGCCAACGTATCAGCCACAGTTTTAACTTCATCCTGGGCTGGACCACCTGTGATCAGAACCAACACCTGATGGACTCCCTGCCTCTTGCGTGACCCAGCTGATGGCTCGAACATGGTGGAGAGGGCATAATTCATGGCAGCTCCTGTATTCAAAACTGAGCCTCCAGTCAGCCTGAGTTGAGAAATTTTATTCACAACATCCTGCCTGTTGTTGTAGCTGTTCAGATAAAATTCAACTCTTGGATGTTCAGCAAATTGTAGGAGACCAATCTGGACCCTGTCAGGACGTACATCCACCTGGTTGATCACATTGATAATGAAGTCTCTCACATAAGGCAAGTTAGCGCTGCCAATGTAGTTTGAGCCATCCACAAGGAAGACAATGTCTCGGACCACTCTTTGAGTATGCACTGTGGTTATCTCCACCACTAAAGAAAAGCAAAAATATAAATAAATAAAAATTAGTCATGTGTAATACTATGTGCAGTACATTCAGGCTCTAAAACAGGGATGCCCACACTTTTTCGCCTTGAGAGCTACTTTTCCCTTTTCCCTCCACATTTTCCTTTTCTGGAATAGTGATGGTAGATTGGCAGATCGAGCACTTCGAATATAACCTCGTGAATAAAAAGTCCTCCTCCCATTCTGCATGGAATGTTTTGGATAGGTTTTCAGTTTCTTACTTGATTCGGCTCCCCCACTCATTTTATACCCTTTCTTTAGTAGAAATTAATTGGAAGGCTGACAAGGTAGTTAGCTCACTGGAGTTTTGTAGTAGCTCGTGCGGTTGATTGCACATGCTTGGTGACTTGTGTGTCAGAAAAGACAAGGTCTCAGTCTGGCTGCATGTCAATCAAGTAGCAAATGCCATAGGGAGGATGGATGATAGGCTAAACATCACATTTATTTTTAAATGGCACGTGATCTACTAACAATACCTTTGCGATCGACATATTGGGCACTTCTGCTCTAGAAGATGTAAACCAATAAGTGACATATTAAAAGGTCTGTACAGTCATGGCCAAAAATATTGGCAGCCCTGTGTTCTGCCAGATAATGCACCACTTCTCCCAGAAAGTTGTTACTATCACAAATTCTTTTGTATTCTCACGCTTATAACCAGTTAAAATGGAGAAAAGTTGACTCAGATTTGTGTCATGTGGACCACACTGAGCATGGAGAAAAGAAAGAAGAGCAAAGAATTGTCTGAGGATTTGAGAACTTCATGAGTGAAAAAGCCTGGACAATCTCAAGGCTCCAAGTCCATCTCCACATATCTGGATGTTCTGTGTCCACTGTGCACAACATTGTCAAGAAGTTTACAGCCCATGGCGCTGAGGCTAATCTCCCTGGACGTGGACGAAAGAGAAAAATAGATGATAGATTGTAATGAATGATTGTTGGAATGGTGGATAAAGAACCTCGATCCACTTCCATACAAATTCAAGCTGACCTGTAGGCACAGGGTGCAACAGTATCAGCTCACACTATCCATCACCATCTAAATGACAAGGAACGGTATGGTAGGAGACCCAGGGGACCCACTGCTGAAACAGAGACATAAAACAGCCAGACTGGAGTTTGCCAGCACTTACCCGAGTGCTTCTGGGAGAATGTCCTGTGGACAGATGAGACTAAAATAGAGCTTTTAGTCGAGCGCATCATTCTACTGTTTTCAGAAAACCAAATGAGGTCTTCAAAGAAAAGAACACGTCCCTACAGTCAAACATGGTGGAGGGTTACCAATGTTTTGGGGTTGCTCTGCTGCTTCAGCCTCTGGATGTCTTGACTGTGTGTGTGGCATTATGAAATCTGAAGACTACCAATGAGTTCTGGGGCACAGTGTAGGTCCCAGTGTCAGAGTTGGGTCTCCATCAGAGGTCATGGGTCTTACAGCAGGACAGTGACCCAAAGCAGATTTCAAAAAGCACCAGAAATGGTTTCAGACAATGAGCTGGAGAGTTGTGAAGTGGCCAGCAATGAGTCCAGGTCTAAATCCCAGAGAGCTCCTGTGGAGAGATGTCAGAACATCAGCTGGGAGAAGGAAGCCTTCATCTCAGAGAGCTGGAGCAGCTGGCAGAAGAAGAGTGGTCCACAATTACACTAGAGAGTTGGAAGAAACTCACTGAAGTGACTGATTTCAGTTCTTTTGTCCAAAGGGTGGGCTGCCAAATATTAAGTTGAGGATGTCAATAATTCTGTTCATTCCATTTTTGGAGTTCTGTGTGGAATGGATCAGATTTGGCTTTTTTATTTGCTTGTTCTAATGCAAACAATAAAGATAAATATGAGAATACCAAAGAATTTATGACTGCAACTATTTTCTGGAAGATGTGGGGCATTATCTGACAGAAATGCAGGGGTGGCAATTTTTTGGGCATGACTGTGTGTAGTTGGTTCTTTGTTATGGAGACTTGCAGATGAGTAACAAATAAAAACAAAACAACATCAAGTGTCTCCGTAAAGTGTTGTCTTAGCACAAGCCAGCAGAACATCTTCGACTGTTCTGTGATATATGTTGGTTTTAGATGTGTGTGATCGTAGGGAAAACTCGCTCTGAGTCGAGTCATGAACAATTGATGCCATGGCACATTGAATGTTTGCTGGTTCACACAAATTGGAGCAAGAGCCTGCAGCACTTACCCAGCTCCCTATGCTTGTTTCTTCTTTAATGATTTGTTGCTGAAATATTTCAAACTCATTCACTGACAAAACTGTGCTAATTACAGTGCCTTGCGAAAGTATTCGGCCCCCTTGAACTTTGCGACCTTTTGCCACATTTCAGGCTTCAAACATAAAGATATAAAACTGTAATTTTTTTGTGAAGAATCAACAACAAGTGGGACACAATCATGAAGTGGAATGAAATTTATTGGATATTTCAAACTTTTTTAACAAATAAAAAACTGAATAATTGGGCGTGCAAAATTATTCAGCCCCTTTACTTTCAGTGCAGCAAACTCTCTCCAGAAGTTCAGTGAGGATCTCTGAATGATCCAATGTTGACCTAAATGACTAATGATGATAAATAGAATCCACCTGTGTGTAATCAAGTCTCCGTATAAATGCACCTGCACTGTGATAGTCTCAGAGGTCTGTTTAAAGCGCAGAGAGCATCATGAAGAACAAGGAACACACCAGGCAGGTCTGAGATACTGTTGTGGAGAAGTTTAAAGCCGGATTTGGATACAAAAAGATTTCCCAAGCTTTAAACATCCCAAGGAGCACTGTGCAAGCGATAATATTGAAATGGAAGGAGTATCAGACCACTGCAAATCTACCAAGACCTGGCCGTCCCTCTAAACTTTCAGCTCATACAAGGAGAAGACTGATCAGAGATGCAGCCAAGAGGCCCATGATCACTCTGGATGAACTGCAGAGATCTACAGCTGAGGTGGGAGACTCTGTCCATAGGACAACAATCAGTCGTATACTGCACAAATCTGGCCTTTATGGAAGAGTGGCAAGAAGAAAGCCATTTCTTAAAGATATCCATAAAAAGTGTCGTTTAAAGTTTGCCACAAGCCACCTGGGAGACACACCAAACATGTGGAAGAAGGTGCTCTGGTCAGATGAAACCAAAATCGAACTTTTTGGCAACAATGCAAAACGTTATGTTTGGCGTAAAAGCAACACAGCTCATCACCCTGAACACACCATCCCCACTGTCAAACATGGTGGTGGCAGCATCCTGGTTTGGGCCTGCTTTTCTTCAGCAGGGACAGGGAAGATGGTTAAACTTGATGGGAAGATGGATGGAGCCAAATACAGGACCATTCTGGAAGGAAACCTGATGGAGTCTGCAAAAGACCTGAGTACTGGGACGGAGATTTGTCTTCCAACAAGACAATGATCCAAAACATAAAGCAAAATCTACAATGGAATGGTTCACAAATACACATATCCAGGTGTTAGAATGGCCAAGTCAAAGTCCAGACCTGAATCCAATCGAGAATCTGTGGAAAGAACTGAAAACTGCTGTTCACAAACGCTCTCTATCCAACCTCACTGAGCTCGAGCTGTTTTGCAAGGCGGAATGGGCAAAAATTTCAGTCTCTTGATGTGCAAAACTGATAGAGACATACCCCAAGTGACTTACAGCTGTAATCGCAGCAAAAGGTGGCGCTACAAAGTATTAACTTAAGGGGGCTGAATAATTTTGCACGCCCAATTTTTCAGTTTTTTATTTGTTAAAAAAGTTTGAAATATCCAATAAATTTCGTTCCACTTCATGATTGTGTCCCACTTGTTGTTGATTCTTCACAAAAAAATTACAGTTTTATATCTTTATGTTTGAAGCCTGAAATGTGGCAAAAGGTCGCAAAGTTCAAGGGGGCCGAATACTTTCGCAAGGCACTGTATGTCTACATTGCTATTAAGTAAGTAAAAGTTTTTAATGTAAAACTCCAGGTAATGTTCTCTTCACATTAGAAGTAAATTAACATTAAGAGCTTTCAGTCAGTGAAGAGAAAGGCTGATATCTGTTACATGAATGCATGAAAAAGAACATTGCATAATGCATGATATTGCTTTGGTTGAGGGAGGAGACCATCACAGTTTGAATATGGTCAGCAAGGTCATGCCCGATTAATTGTAAAATCATGGTCATCGGGCAAAAAAAGTTGAACTTGGCTTAACTTTTTCTGCATCCAGCAAGGCACTGAATAAATTATACAGTTTACATTAGTAAAGGTATCAAACTTGGATAATTTGTTCATCAAGATCTGATGTGTGATTTAAGTGTTCCCTTCATTTTTTGAGCAGTGTATTTATTTATTCAAGGTTTTCCTTTGGCATTCATCTGTATATGTTTATTTAATCAAAGGTTAGTTTGTTCATTTGTTGTATTCCTTTTTAAATGCACTGACTGTGCTAGAAGACAAAGCATCACCTGGTTCAGTGGGTCCTTCAGTCACCACCACTCCAGCTAGAGTAGAGAGCGCATCAGTAATGGCCCTTGGGTTCCGAAATAGTCCGCGGAAGTCCTTGTGCATGAACACAACGCTGTCAGTAAAGGCAATCCGCTTCAGCTCCTCCTCATCTGCAGCCTTGACGCCTGCAGTCAGAGTCAGTACGCCCATTCTCAGCAGTGCCCTAGCAGGTTCTTCCACACTGTCACTGGACTTTTTACTGGTGATCAAAAATAAAAGCTGGGGTACTTGTTCTTGAATTCGACTGCCCCTGTCAGGTCGCAGCATATTCTCACGCACAAATTCCAGGGCTGCTCCAATATTGACCGTCTGTCCAGATCTTGGTTTGATGGCGCCCAAAGCAGCAATTAATTCCTCGCTGGATCCATGGGAGTTGAGGCCGATCTCAAATCCAGGGACATTGCTGAACTGAACCACACCCACCTGGACTGCGTCTGGACCAATTGGCATTTTGCTGACAAAATCCTTGATGAATTCACGCACAATGTTGATGACAGCTGGGCCCATTGTACTGTCAATTAGGAAAATGATGTCTCTTTTTCCAACTGCCAAGACTGAAAGGAAAAAAAAAAAATTATAAAAGATCATTCTAAGAAATTTTATAACAATAAATCTGTAAGACTGTAACTAGAGGTTAACAAAGCCAACCAAGGATATTCTGTTATTATATTTTTTATACTTAATATTTGTATTTGATTACGTAACTAGCAATAGGTAATAGTGACTAGTGGGGAAAAGGTGCCTTTTAATTGCTTCATCTTAAAGATGTAATGTTTAATTAATGTTTTGATATTTGGAAATGACATTCGGTATGGTGCCTTAGAAGATATCAGTTAAGCTCAGAATAAGAATAGAGATGCTAACATTAATGATTGATATACAAAACTAAATTAACTTTAAATTTTAAACTAAAATCACACTGCAGAGCAGAGTTTAGCCTGAAAGTGACACTGGGCTTTGGCTTTGTACAGAATCCAGTTTCTATTGGTGACAGTTGATTTTTATGTCTTGTTCATTCATTTAGCTCAGAAAGCCATTTTATTGAGTTTTATTGAATTTTTAAGACCCTAATTTATACAGGACATAAAATATAGCTATGCATTGATTGGTGGACTTTTCTCTTTTTCAAAGTTTGATGACAAGAAATTGTATTCAGAAGTAAACTGCACACCTACACACAACATTATTTATTTGAATCCAGAAACTTATAAAAACAACATACCTTATGTTCTATCAAATAATATTCAAGGCATATATGGTATGACAGCCAATGTTGCTATTCTGTGCAGCTTTTCAGATCATTGACTTGGGTATCAAGTCTATATGGTAAGTTGTTCACGAAAAAACTGAGCTGCCAGCATGAAACTGGTAGAGAGCTGGAATTAACAAGTGGCTGAGAGTCAGACATATAGCATTGCAAACAGGTCTATATTTTCTGACAAGTAATGAAAAAAAAGCATTCCAATGGATGCCGTTTCCTTTCCTTCTGGGCTATGTTAGTACTATTTGAGTATTTAGCCATAATAGCTTGTTTAAAGTATGTATGTCGATCTTGTCACTGTGAACCTGTTTTGAATTCAACCATTTGCCCTATAAATATTAAAACTAAGTTAGTAGCAGCCATTCAAATATCCTCCCTAATGATTTCTTGTATTATTAATACAAATTCGCTTTAATCTGCTTTTTCATCCTCTGTTAAACACCCTTATTACAAGTGAAAATATTGCTAGCTCACACTTTCCAGGTATATCTCAACTTTCACACTGTATTAGACTTAATATGCTTAATTTATGATGTCCCCCTCCTTAATCACAGTACCCTGCCAACATATACAGAGAAATTACATACCTTGTGAGTACTCATTCTGAACTATAATGGTGCCTTGGATCACCCCGTTAATGTATGGGAGCAGCTGGTCATCCATGTTTGCTAGTTCTCTGAAATCAGGAGCTGGCAGGACAAAACTTTTATCTGTAGCAACTGCTTCCAGATCTGCAGTGGCAGCGTCACCGATCACCACGCCTAATGTGATAACACCAGCCCTCTTAAGGGCCCGGTCACCACTACCAGTATCATCAGTGGATGGCCCAGCACTGATAACCACCAACACCTGGGGCACACCCTCATTTGCCCTGCCCCCAGCTGTTTGGCTGAAAAGGGTTTCAGCCACTTCCAAGGCAGTGCCCAAGTTAGATTCGTCACCCCCTGAGTAGGCGAGGCCCTTCACAACTTCCAGGACTGACGATTTGCTTTCATAGCTATTTAGATAGAACTTTATCTCCGGATTGGTGTGGTACAGGGCCAAGGCCACACGAATAGTGTCCCTGCCCACATCAAGTTGCTCAATGATTCTCAATACCAAATCACGCACAAGGAGGAAGTTTTCTGCTCCAATGTTCTGTGATCCATCAATTAAGAGTACTAGGTCAGCTGAATCTTGTGCTTTAAGGAGAGAGAGAGAAAACAAAAAAAAATCGAAATAGTGAAAGTGTTAACATAGTGAGACAGAGACAAAGAATCAAAGAACCCGTGCTAGCATGTCATGGCATGTGTCAAGTAACATTCAGAGTGAACAAATCAATAACAACATTGCTAAACACATCATACTGCATGTAGGCTGAACTGAGGAGATTTCCTAAAGTGCACTAGTCAGAATCTTAAGTTGTATATGCTTTTCCCTACCACAGAATGGTTATTTGGATTGGACATGAATCAAAGTGAGATGAGGGTTACTGATCGAATAGTGTTTCTATCAATATAAATACTAACTACTGATACAAGTAGAGTTCACCACATCTTGAGTGGTCTACAGTGCCAGGTTAATGAGACCATCAATATTTTTAACATGTAGAAAAGGCATGCTTCTCAAATTAGGGACAATTAGAACCCTAGCATAATGATAAGAAAAATGAATTTGACATCAGATTGATTATTACAGAAACAACAGTGATAAATAGCCCAAAATGTTGAAAGGGACTGAATAAATACATTTTTCTAGCATTTTTACAAATGTTTTTTAAAGATGGGAGTTATAAAGTATTTAAAGTGTCAAAATATATGGCAAAAACAAAGGCTGAATGTAACTAAATGGCCTGGTTTGATACTGAATGAAGTATTGGGGTTTAATGCAGTTTGCTCCCTGTATTAACTCCACTGTGTTCAGCCATCCCATGCAGAGTCTGGTTATCAGGATCAGATAAAAGTGGCCAGTAATGCCCCCGTGGCCCATCCTTGGTGCTTACAACGTTTCAGTACTTGAGAAAATAATATATGTGATTCCATATAAATTGAGTAAAAGCATGTAGCTTGGTGATGCTTCCAATTTATCTTGAATCATCTATTTTGGCAGTGATCATGTCTTTCTTGGACAGTTTTTTGCATGAATTACTCTTCACTGGAATTCATCTTTCTCACTCCAGTGAGTTACTGTAACATATTAAACATAATTTATGGACATCTACATATTAAAACATTCTCAGTGTACTTCCACTGCAAGTCAAGGATGAGTCCAGGCAGGTTCATCACTGTTTCAAATACAGAATATTGCACATATTTTAAACAGATAGACAATGTGACTGATAAAGACAAACATATATATGCAAGACACATAAGCAGTGGTGCATGGTTAGCTATTGTTAAAAGCTCATTGATTATCTTTTAGATGTATGTTTTAAAGGGTAAGGCATCTTAATACCATGTTCTTTTCCAAAGGTTTACTGAAGGAATGTTTTTAATCTGAAGTGTCATTATATGGATTTTACGATTTTATTCTGTTGCTGTCTGCACAATCTCTCACTTACAGCCATGTCTAATACATGTCATTATCTGTCTTAAATTATGACTGAGGCTATTGCTGTAAGCCAACGCAGTGCTCAAATAGCTACCATACCTAAAAGCACCTGGGACAATGCTCACATTGCTTGCTCAACCCACATTGGATGTGGCTTTGCACAAGGATATAGCTGTGCCATTACACAAACTGAGCATCCTAATCCAAAATGCACTAAAGGTGTCAATCACATGCAAATCATATTGCAAGATTTAAAGCATTAGGGGTATATTAAATGTGGTAAGACAAAAGTGATGTTAATTTTGCAGGTGGATAGTGAAAGGTTATTGTGGTTAAAACAATACTTAATTGGGTTAATAATAAAAACTAGTCATGGTCACATATGCAGCAGCTTCTTCCTGCACATGTAAACACATTAGTATAGTAGTGACGCTGGTCCCATTTCATTACCTGTCCCTCCTCCAGTCACAGGGGCCTCATTTGCCACAGGAGCACCCCCTGACCAGGTCACTGCGCCGCAAAGCCCCACTACTAAATCTTGGATTATATCGGCCAAAGTCAAAAAAGAGTCTACACTGAACATATGCGTGTCATGGGGCTGGCTAGCCATCTCTCTGAGTTCCAAGTCCACTGCATCCTGAACTCCAACTGCAAACACCTCCACGCCTGCAAGCCGCAGCACCTGAGCTGGCTCAGCCACGTCATCCTGGGACCGCCCATCTGTTAGCACCACCACCACCTGGGCCACTCCTTCAACAGCACGGCTGCCTGAAGCAGTGGTCAAGTGTGTACGTAACAGGAATTCCAGGCCCAGGCCGGTCTTGGTACCCCCACCACGATAAGACATAGCCTTGATGTGTTCCAGGACTCCCTGTATTGTTGGGTAACTGTTGAGCTGGAACTCAGTTTCAGGCCAGGTGCTGTACTGCACAAGGGCGAATTTAAACCTGTCCCCTCCAACCTGGTGCAGTGATTGTATCAAACTGTACAGAAATTGTCTGACATGCTCAAAGTTCTCCTCTCCCATACTCCAGGATGAATCCACTAGAAAGTACATATCAGCTGCCAACCCTTGTGTACAATCTTCAAAAGAGAGTGTTTGGAGGACAGAAGTAAAAACCAGTGAGAAGATGCTTAGTGTTTGGTACCAAAATATTGTTTTGGTAACACTGTTGCACATTATAGTTGTAATGTTCAGGTAATTCTAGGCATCATTCTGATTTGTTTATCATAAGCATCTGACTGGACACCAAGTCATGAGGTTTTTTCCCATTGTGAGATACGTAGTTTGAATGCAAATTTTAAAATATAATAATATAAAGAAAATGTCATGGAAAAATAGCCAGTTTGTCAATAATGCTCAAGTAGAATGGGAATTATTCCATTCTCTATATACATATACTTTTGTTTCTTATCTCACTTTTTTGTCTTATTTGAACAGGTGATATATTTTTGGGCGTGCAAAAACTTGAAAAAAATCTGATTAGATTAATTTAGTTAAACTTACCATCCTGAGCATCAAGTTTAGGGAGAAGCCCTGCAAACAGGACACCCAGAAGGGCACACAGTGGTAACAACCGATGCCTCCTCATCTTCAAAGAAACAAAGGGGACACCTGTGAAACCAGAAACAAAAAATAAATATGACCCAGAAAGCACAGGCAGCAGCACTACCTTAATAACACAAGGTCCTTTGTAATACTTAAGATTTAAAAATGTAAAAAGTTCATCAAGCAAAGTGAAATAAGTGAAGTAAAATGTTTAAATATGAGCATCTCTACAGGATACATCTTATATAAACATGCTGCAAACCTGGCCAGCTTTAAAACCACAGTATGTAATATTCTTCAAATCTTTTTTAGTAGAAATATCCCACAAATAATATCTTAATTGGAAGCGTTGCTGACCAAGGCTCGTGTGCCCAAGACCCATAAAAGAGTCTGGAAGAGGGCACCCAGGTGCCCGTAGTCCATTGGTTACAGTGCAGGGCACCATATACCCTCCTGGCTTTTGGGATGTCAGTGGTTCAACTCTGGCTGCTGATAGCCCTGTTGCAGGTCTCTGTTTCCTGTTTGCCTCTACATGACACAATGATTAGTAAAGGTATAAAAAGCCCAAAAATAAACCTTAAAAAAGAGAAAGCCTGACAGCAGTGTAGAGATATTCCTTTTTAAAAATTTTTGTTTTTAACCAGGACTGCTCTCACTAACTGAACAGAGAAGGAACACACATCTGTTAATCAATACATGAACACGCTTCAGCTTTATTTACGCTGCTATGGCTGATTCGCAGGCTCACAAGCTCCTGAATCCAGAGTTAGCTGAGACAGCTGCACAGAAAGAATACCAAGAAAAGAAAATGTTTTGAAGAGAAAGAAGAAAAGAAAACAACAAAAGTGGATTTAGATAAAGAATTTATATGGGTGCCATTTTCAGCAGATGAGTTTACAAATGGACCTATTATTTCTGCTTGATTGGCAAGTTGTGAATTTATTTATTGTTACATGATAATGACTCAAACATTACTCTTTGTACTTGTAGCTAAATCACACCAGGAGGTGTAACAGCAGCTGGCTAAGCTAAAGATGTCACTGTATCGCTAATTTCATCGCTGTTGTGTAGTGGACGTCGCTACACAGTTGTACTATGTTTATAGTAGACATGAAGCAGAGCAGTCAGCTCGGTGAGGTAACATTATCTGAATGGCCACCAATTGAATACTGTCACTAACATGTTGAATTTCTCTCCAGACTGTGGCACTGTGTGTGTTCACGATGGGCTGGGTGCACAGGTTGATTCTAGAGTCTCATGCTAGCACTATCTTAATTTTAAATTAATAAAAATTGTACCTTTAAGGTTTTAACATCTTATTGTCCCTTAAAGTTTGCAATGCTGGAGCAATTTGATAAGGTGTCTCTTGTGGGGATATCCAGTTTGACGTGTTTACACTCCCTCTTTCTAAATATAACATACAGCATTGCATAAGCTTGTTTCTTTAGCCAAGACTGCACCATTTAATCTTTGACACAACACAGAAGAGAAAAACATGTGTCTTGTCAGCCTTTTTTGCAGTGTACAAAGATGAGGTGTCCTACCACTATTTCTACAACTGAACCTGTCAGATTTGTGCACTAATTTACCCTGTTCTCACTCCGATGTGCTCAAATGCTACATAACCTCTATAGTAACATTTACATTACAGAATTGTTCAGCAGTCGTTTGCCATAAAAATGTCCAAACCATTGTCAAAATGTGCACGTGTTTATTTTCATTCCTCACGGGGACATTACACTGACTTACATTCCTACCCTACCTTTAGTGATAACCACTTCTTGCTTAACCCTAACCTGTACTGTAACATTAAAGTTACGCCAACCTCACCCTAAACCAAGACAACACCCTAAAACTCAATTATTTACATGATGGAGACCAGCATCTGGTCCCCATGAGGAGGGCTGAGTCCCTACAATGTGAATGTGTAAACAAGATTTGGTCTTCAAAATGTAATATCATGCACACACACACACATGCGTGCAGGATTGTTCCTTGGACACGGCCACAGAGGGAATAACCACCAAAATACCGTCATTCTAAAATAACTTCTCACAAAGAACTGCTGTAGAAGTACAAATTCACAGACATTTGTGCTTGTGACTCTTTGACACTACTGAAATCAACCCCAAACCTTTCCCTGTACACCAAGTCTCAACACTCAGCAACCCTGATTGCTGATTGCTTGTTTTCACTTTCCCTCTGTTTCTGGGTCTCAAGATATCAATGGTCCTTGCAAAGACAGATGCAAAAGAACTCATGCAGACACCCCCAACCTTTTAAATTTCTAACTACACTGAGGTGATAATATGGGTGGAGAAATGTGCCTAAACAGCCAGGGCAAGAGCTACAGAACAATTAACACACTGAAGCAAACATGAAACTGTAAACTTCATGTTCATGTTTCACAAAAGCATATAAAGACAAGCACAAAATGCCCCAGGATGGTCAACATGGTTTATGAACAACAATAAACTAACAATGGGGGTCAAAGTAGATATCACTTACTCAAAGATCATGATGATTACGCAGCTACATTTTCGGTGTTGATCTTTTCTTTATATAAAAAACATGTAAAGTGCTTTCAAGTAATTCACACTTGCAGTCCCCCAGTGCTGTCACTATTCAGGGATTCAAGTTCACCAAGTTCCTTTATTTCAGGGAAAGCTAAGCTCTCTTGGACATACTAACAGATGTTTGTGCTCTCCACTCATGCTCATGTGATTTCAGGTCACTCAGCAGTCACTTCACCGCCAAGTTTGCCAGACCTGTCAACACTATCTCCCTTTCCGCCACAGAGAAAAAACATAGCAGCACAGTGGAGTCCTGTTTTCTCTGATACAAGCCAAAACAATGGCAACATGGGGAATTACATTAGGGTAAATTAAAAAATGAACAAGAATATTAGTGCAGATGACTAATTCCTCAGGGGATTAACTGTCTGTTCAGGAGCTGCAGTACATGCACCATTATGTTTACCAGCTAGTCGCTAACTTAGTCTGTTGTTTGATGATGGATATGTAATGCACAATGAGTTTAGGAGAGGATTTAAACTGAAAACAGCTTCTTGCTCCTAGAAAGTTGATGAGAGCAATAAGACTGAACCACAACAGTAAATTTACAAGCTACAAAACTAAAACTGAGTTAAAACAAAGAATGAAAACAACTAATAATTATCAACCAACTAGTGGTGGTTAGAAAGTCTCTGTAGGTTCATAACTGCATGCAACCTCTTTCACATCACACATTTTCATTTAAACCACTGTTTAAAAACATATGGATTCATTCAGATTTAATATTTAAAAAATATTAATGTGCAGCTTTAATATCTAGTGTCAGGGACAATGCAATGCAATGTCAGAGAAAAGGAAGCTAAGTCATAATTTAATCATTGATCAATATGCTTATTACATCTGCTCATATAAAACCTCAATCTCTGTCTGCATCTCAAAATGATTCAAAACTGCCACCCCTCCAAAGTGAGAGCCTTGATTTAATTTCAGTTTATTGTGATACTAGTCATGCTTCTGATGCTTTTAGACCACTTAATCTCATTGTCCTCAGCTAAACCTCACAGGGGTACGAGAACTCATTGTGCATTGCTCTGGTTGTTTTTTGACACTACTGCCAGGAATCTGAACCTTTCAAATCCTACATATAGGATTAAAAAGCTACAGTTATACATGGATTCTCCTCCAACATCTACTGTATCTTGTCATAAGCCTCAACCTGAGCAGAGCAGACAGCCATATACAGCATACAACATCACGGTCATCTAATAAAGACTGTAGAAAATAAAGAGTTATGACGTTATCATGTTTGTGTGTTTTTTTTTTCTTTTTGAGGTCCACATGTGTGTCTCTGTGATAGACTGAGTCATTAGTTCTGCTACATGTGTAATTCAGGCACGACCAAAAAAGTGTTTAAGTAGTTGAAACTGTAATCAGTTTATGTTATTCACTGCGTAGAATATATTGCTCTGCTCAGTGTACATAACAGTATGTCTTACTCAGTGGCATTATTTATAAATAATACCCATGTCGGTATTCAGAGAAGAAGATAGACACTGCTGGTGCTCATGAGTACACTGCAGCACATTTTCAGCTGGACCTCACACACTCTTTTGTTGAAAAGACCACCCATAAACATGCACATGCATAAGCGCACTCACGCTTGCTCACAGTCCAGTGCAACACACAATTCCATCAGCCTCAGTGACAAATAGCAACGTCATTAATCAGTGTGAGTGCCACAGTGAAAAAATACTCTGCTGCAAGAAAAAGTCCTGTATTCAAAAAGTGCTCATTATGCAGAATCATATATTTACATTAATCTATATTATTGCATTCTATTATTGATGCATTATTGTGAACATCACATTTAAAGGAATCTTGCAGCTGGTAAAGATGGAGCAAATGTTAACTACAGTAACTGATGCTTAAAATTTGAAGTGCTGCTGGGCAGCTTGTGAATTTCTTATGATTATACTGTATTTTGTTTTATTAATCTAAGTCTGACAAGTATTAGTAATTAAACTTAGCAGATAAATGTAGTGGAGCACAAAGTACATTTGTCTTTAGAATGTAGTGAAGTTGAAGTATGAAGTAGCAAAAAATGAAAATGATCAAGTACAGACACCTCAAGATTAGACCTAGGTACTTGAGTGCATGTATTTACTGTAGTTACATTCCACCACTGTGCCAGCAGACATGGCTCAGTCTCCTCACAGAAAGAACAGATATTAGAAGGTCCTTGAGCCCAGCAGGTAGTTGTAAGGGGAACATTTCCACTATACTCAGAGCTGCTAAATACACACCGTCAAGAGGTTTCTCAGATGACAGTGAGTAAAAGCTACAAGACAGACACTTTCAAATAAATTCAAATTTCAAAATGCATTTTTAACAGGTCTGAACAAAATAAGAAAACTACGAATAGCCACTATAGCCATACACTATAGCCAGCTACATTTGACCAGGCTACAAAATAAATAACAAAGTGATGACAAACAATACATTTAAAGCAGCGACAAACCCACAGAACTCTCACCAAACTCTGCTACTGTGCTTTCCTTTACTTCTCTACAAGAAGTTAATGCATCTTTCAGGCCACTGTTTTCATTTGGTTTTCTGGCCCACATGTTTACTGCTTAGGTTCATTCTCACCTTTCTCATCAGCATTGTTAACAGTGGGTAGTTGCTTTGAGCAAAGAAGATTAAAAAAAAAAACACTATCTGCCCAGCACCAAACAGTTGACAAAGGCAGCACTTAGCTGGTGAACATGGTGGAGCATTCAGTAGCTAGGGTTGCTAGAGTCGGATATTTCCTTCAGCACTTTGAGGAAAGCAGAAAGACTTAATTCATCAGGTGCAACATTCTGTAAACCAAGTGAACACTAATACTGCTCTGAATGTGTAAAAGAGCAACAGGTTGTTAACAACTTTGCCTGATCAACCTAAAAGGTGATTGTGTCTGAGCAGCTTGTTTCTGCTGCCCCCTAGTGGTCTACATTGTATTAACTAATCAGAAAACAAACCCTGGTCTTCAAAAAAAAGTCTGGCAGATGTTTATTATTTCACTTCTGTTTGGGGTTGCAAATTAGCTCCATTAACACTTTCTCACATTATAAAACTGACAACAAAGCATGTATCAATTATACTATCAACAGCAATTACTGATGTCAGTATTTATAAAGACCAGTTTCTTTTCTTTCATGGGACATCTCTATTGACTAATCTGGGTGAGACAGGTGAGGCAGCAAGAGCTGGGGCTCATTTCAACACTGTAAAACTGTTTCCGATTGTCTGGCAACTCCACACTGCCACTCAGTGGCATCACATGAGGAAGGATCCCTTGTACGTTCAGTACAGTAGGTATGACTTTGAGAGCACACGTTTTATCTGTCTGCACTGCGTTTAGCAATTTGAATTGCCTTTGTGTACAAAAATGTGCTATATAAATAAACTTGCCTTGCCTCCACATGTATGAATCAGTCATGAGGCTATGTGTATCCTCTTATCCAACCCTCCTGACAGCTGGAAGGATGTGACGTGCCGTGTGTGGCACAGATGAGAAGAGGATCAGTGATAAAGTTGAAAGGCAGAGATGGAAGTAGGCTGGGCAGGCAGCTCCACACAGCTGGTGTGTATTACTCTGTCTGACACCTAGCAGATGTGTGTTCAAGCATCATAGCCAATGTAAGCCTGCAGGCTGGCTGAGTTCAAGGATTAAACATGACACTCATGCAGTGTCAGTTAGAATCGGAGAAGAGAAGGAATGGCTTATAGCAAGAATCTAAGCATTCATTGTTAGAATTTGGGTGATGACAGTGAGTTCATTTGAATTTTTTGTACTGTATTTTCTCAGTCAACACCTTGAAAGTTCAGAAAGTTACTGCCATAATCACCCCCAAACAATGCATAATAATTATTGTCCCTTGTTTATTGTATTGTTTGTTTCTTTAAAAAGAGACAATTGGAGCAGTATCTCCCTGAACTAGAGCTTTCTGAAAACTGTTTCAACCTTCCAGATGTCTGTGCTGCATCATGGGAAAAAGAAAAAAAGCTGGAGAGAGTGGCGCAGCTATAAAACATAGTACTGTTGATTTATACTGTATATCTTTAAAAAAAAAAAGCCTTGTTAAAATCCTACAGCTCTGCCAGTAACAGTTCAGATACTTGCTTCCAAGGGGAGCTCCAGCGCTGTCACAAGGCTGACAGTAAATTATGTGAAAATGCTTCATGCACATAAAACCAAATCTGGAGTGCACACCAAGTTTTCTTTTGCCTTTGAGCAGTGACCAAGTTCTTCCACTCTGTGTCATAGCAACAGGCTACATGCAAACATAAAACTACATGGAAGCAGTAGCTCATGGGACTTATGACAAATTTCCAGTGCAAAGTCATTATGGTGTGACTAAATCAGAAGAGCACTATAACCTAATTTACACATCAAATCCCACATGCACACAGTGAAATGCTGCAGAGGATAATTCCTCTGTCTCTACTTGGACAGTCTTGCAGCAGAGCAGAATATTAATGACATACACCTGGTCCTCTAAACCCTGGAGCCCATTAGCACCACCGCCACCACCACACTGATCTTTTGTCCAGTGGGTTAGACCCCTTCTGGCCCTCCTGGTTCATCTGGCCAGTAGTGTGGAAAACACTTGCTTCACACTTTTCCACTTTTGCACTTATTTCAGAGAGGGTGTGGTTTGGGGCTACTGCTACAGTGGAAACATCAACCCATCCAAATGCTGCTCTTTGGAGCCAGAATACTTATCACGTCCACAAAGTGAGCTATTAAACGATGACCAGTGATGTCTTATCTCTTTACACAAGTTAAAGAATATTTAATACATTTTGGAACAAAAGTGAGTGGAACAATCTGCTGTATTACAGGATGCATTCATTACACAGAAACTCCATTCTACCATATGTATTACAAAACTTTGATCAGATACTCACTGCTTACCACTCTGACACTGATCCTCAGACCACAGCATCTCAGGGATTTCATTTTTTCTCTCATCACAATTATATGACATCTATAAGTTAAGCTTTGTAAGAACCAAGAGTGTCAAACAGAAGAGCAGCATTTTAAGATTTTTTGAAGAGAAACACACACACACCAATCTTCACTCACATGGACCATACATAACATTGCTGAGGTCTCCTTCACTCTGACTGTGGCTCACCTCTTGCCCTTGCAGCACTCTCACCACTAAAGTATAGGTTTCAGTCATGCTGGTAAACACATGCAGTCTGATATTTATGAGTTAAAAGCCAAAAGCTTTGTACAATCCTATGATTACAACACCCATCATAAGGCCACATGGAATGACTAGAAACTATGCTATGGTCAGTGCACTATTTATAATCAACAGTGAAATCAAAGATACAGAGTAAATTGTGAGACACGAAGAACATATGCAACCTATTCCTGCAAGTTTCCTCCAACAGAGCAGATTTAAGACTTACCCTGAGCTGAAGTAGCTGTACTCCACTGTATTTGCTTTGGAAGAAAAATGGTTTCAGTTATGTAAAATGACTGCAAGCTGGACTTTTGGTCATTATCCTTTTGGTATATTCCCCTTGCTGACTTTTCCAGCACCTCCTGAAGGAAGGTAGTTGAGCAGAGCAGTGATAGGTTCACTGAATGAGAGAGAAGTCCTGAGTGTGGGGGGGTGGTTGAGACAAAGAGGCAGACAACCTCCCAGTCTCAAACCAGAGGAGATGTGGTGTTGAGTTCAAAGATGGGATGGGACAAATTTCCAAACTCCTGAACTTCTGGCATTTCCCTCTTCCTCCTCCCACTTTCTCCAAAGAAAAGGAAAAAAGAAGAAGAGGAGGGAGAGAAGAGGAGAGGGTGGGCAGGGGGAGAAGGAGGTAAATGAAAACCAGATACAGCCCTGTTTGGTCTGAGCAGTGGGGAGGATGATGTCACAAATCTGAGCAGGATTTTCACCTAACCTTTTTCTACATTTTGCCATTTCTCCCTTGACCTCTGTAGGGTCCTTTTTAAGACTCTACCATTCAGATTGTTGTGTTTGTTTAAAAAAAGAATATTTTAAATAGTTTTTGCACCCTTTTGTTGTTGAATTAAAATGAACATTGCTAAAAACAAAATGTAGTTTGGATAAATACTATAGAATATATTGGTAAAGTGATTTAGGGAAATGTTTGTTAATTAATAAGCTGGTTAATTAATGAGTGATCATATATTGTCAAAGTACATCTCATAGTCTCAGCATCTGATAAATATCATGTATTGTGTAGCGGCGCTCTTGGAATGAAATCTCACCAAATAAAACGAACTCACAAATCTCTCACAAAGGAATGTGCAAGACAGCGTCCTGGCAGAGGCTAAAGATGTGCACGCTGTGAAGGAAGAGCAGTGTCACAGTGCCATGGATTCAGTTGTTCCATGAAAACAAAATACATTTAGCCATAAAACTACACAGCAAACGCATTCTACACAGCAGCCTTTAGGAGATTAGTTTTATTTCCACCACCTCACAGAAGCATATGGGCTCATAGTAACAAACCAGAGAACTCTCATCTAACCCTGCAGACCCCCTCAGCTCTATTTTAGCATCTTTGAGCTCATTGTTTTTGTTTTATGGCCAACAGCTTCTCTGTTCTGTTGTTTTTGCTCATGTACATCATTACCAGTCACAAATAGCCAACAATATTTCATAAATCCACTGTGCTAGCTTCTTAGGACCAAACAAAAAAGTTAGCAACTTGTGAACATACTGTGTATTTTGCATTGTTTGCACGGTTTGTTGCTTGTTAATACTGTTTATTTTGTTATACTACACAGCCTTATGTTGGTTTACTGTTTACTTGCCCCTTTGCATGGGGATATGTACATGCACATTGAGAGCCAAAGTACCAGAGTCAAATTCCTCGTGTGTCCGACACACCTGGCCAGCTGATTCTGATTCTGACATGTTTAGCAATTAGGAAGCCATAGAGTTTCTCTAAAACTCTGTCTGTAGTGAAAGAGATTGCTTGACAAACCCACAGAGAATTATTACCCAACTCTGCAGGTTTCTTGAGCCATCAGAGCGCTTAGCCTCATCATTATTTAGCTTTTCCAAACCACATATTTCTTCTTATCCAGGAGCAACAGGCATGTTTTCAGTGGGAAATCTTTTAATAAACCCACTGTACACAACCTACCTAGAGCAGACAAAGTTTGTGACTAGCTGGAGAAAACGTGGGGCATTTATGACTTAAAGAGTTTCTCTTTAAGTCATCAACTCGGGAGTTGATGTGTTAAAGTTGAGTGAATATGGACTTATGTGTATCACGACTCCAAATTAATGTTGGTGTTATATGTGCTGTAAGTGTCGGTAGGTGACTGCTTGATAACCCATGTCAACTTTAAAGCCTGATAGTATTTCAATGTATTTTCAAGAAAAAAAAATTCCAGGTTTCAGCATATCAGTTTATTTTGAAATGTTTCATTTTCCTATCAGACACCATGTGACTGCTGTGTTTGTGTGTGTGCATATCATGTACATAACATCTTCCACTGTCAACATACTTTAAAGCATTTTTTATTGAATGCTGAGAGAGATATAGTGAACTGCACAATTCACTTACTTAAATGGCAACAGGAAACATCCTTCAGCAGCACGTCACTGTTGAACTTTTAAAAATGTCCAAGTCAAACAGAGGGAGGATTTCTGCAGCAGCATTTTTTTTTTTTTTTTTTTTTTTTTTGTCAGTGAGTTAAAACAGACTTTGTTACCAGAGGTCAATTTGCTGTGAAATGAACTTCACTCCCTCACATCTGTGTGAATATGAGCTGAAAACTGTGCTCTAACAGCAGTTGAAGATCTGGTGAGGTATCCTTTGTAGTTCCACTGAGCTCTACAGATACTCTGCTTCTTAATTCATACTATGCAAAAAAGAGACACTTCAAATGCACCATACATATCTTTATACCAGTGGCCCAATCCATCAGTGGTCTGTTGTCTGTAGATCATTACTCACACCATCAATATTTCCTGCGCTGCACTATTATGATGGTGCTAGGCAACCACCCTTGTAACATACACTGAGTTAGTTGTTATATGTTCAAAGATCCAATCAACAGCTAGACTGAGCTCAAAATAATGTTTAAACTGCTTCTTTGACAAAAAGGTGTTCCTTTGTGTTAATAATGTAAATCAGTTATTCAGTACATGTTAAGTTTAGCTAATCAAGAGGAGAATACATCGGCAAGGACAAAAACAGGTAGTGAATTCAAGACTCAGGCAAAACCAGAACAAAAAAGGTGTGTATGCAGAAAAACCAGCAAGCCCTAATGAGGGAGGTGAGACAAGTACATCCAGGTATTTTTTCATCTCTAGGAAAGTTGCCTTACATATATTCCCTTGTGGGTGAGCACTGACCTAACACAGACCCTTGCAAATCAAAAGCTTACACATGTCAGTATGAAAAGGACTAACAGTTATATTGCTGGGTGATGTTAATGTACTGCTCACAGCTTTTAGCAATTGCCTGAGCTGTTGAGGCAGGGCAGAGCTGACTTCTGTGGTAAATGGGTTTGGCTGTTGCATCCCACTAAGGTGACTTCATGCAGATGGATGAAAGTGCAAATTGTTGCTTGTGATGTCTTGATTTTCTCATTTATAATTACCAGCTTCCATAGTTCCAACATATACAGTATTTAACACAGGACAGATGAGCATCACTCAACTATTTATCATTTTAAACATGAAAATGGGAACAAATGGACATTTTCTTTAGCGTACAGATGATATTTTGGGTGTGGCAGCAATGCCTTTAGGCTCCTACAGTATGTGGAAATTATGAAAAGCATAGGAAATGTGTCCTTAAGCCTTGTAGAACCACAAACACACAAACACTCAATGTTTATTTTATTTCCAAAAGCATGAGACTCCCTCCACATAACTGGAGTCTTCATACTGGTTTCTACAAGTTGCTTTCTTTGCCTGTGAGGACGTTACCATGAGGAACAGACTGTTCACCGGCCAGTGTGAGAAAAATACGTGTTGATTCCACCAACACATGTATTTCCACTGGAGCATACGTAAAAACATGGGTGGAGATGGGCAGCTTTAGCTCACTCTGCCCATGTCTGGTGAGGAAAGTATTAATACTCACAGTAACAGTTGATGCCCAACAGAAGTGGGTGCAACTAGGGGAGAATAACACTCAGTAGTAGAATGTTACCTTTTTACATATCTATGTATTCCAGTTGTATTTCACAGTATATGTATCTGCAGGTATCAACTAATTTACATGGGAACATTCCACTAGCAAAAGTATTCTCTTTCTCCTCAATTTTCTGTTTTGTGTTTATTATTATTTATAAAATGTTTATTATTTGATAGTATTAATTATGACTGTAACCAATAATGATAAACGTGATGCAATATCAGGCAAAGAGACAGAATTCTTTCTAAACAAATAAACATAAAATATGTTCGAAAATGGTACCACTAATGTACGGACGTAGTTCTCATTTGTCTAATCCTTATTAAAACAAAACAACAGTTTGCCATTTCATGGTTTACATGCCAAACTATTTCTTGAGAGGACCAAAAAGTTACTGGTTCTTTGCCTGTTACCTGGCAAACTCATGATGAGGAAAAGACCTCTGGAAATTATACATTAAATGTATTAAAAGTGTTACTCTAGTTTTGTTTAGTAAATAAAATACACACTACAATGTACGGGACTAACACTGTTCTGTATAAATGGAAGACCGGGGATGCATTATCTTAAAGGCCTCACATTTACTACATATCAAATGTAGTCTAGAAAAAGGTGAGTTTTTAAAAGACCCCTGTAATCTGAGATTCACTGAACAGCATGACTATAACAGAGTCAGCATGTGATGGAAACATGGGGAATGTAGAACAGGATGTCAAGTGCCAAATATTCAATTTTAAACAGGGTCAAGTTCAAAGGTACTGTACACCAGAGGTCTGCGGTGAATTTAGATCAAAGTCAGTGATATGCATGGTGAAGTGATCTGCTTTTCTTTCTTTTGTATTGGTAAAAATGAGTGTTAATGGGGTGACAGTGCACGCAGCATGAGATAGAGTCCCATGTCTGATTCTGCAATTTTTTCTAATAATGGTCTGGGTAATCATACTGGTAACATCATGGCTGAAACACAAAATCAATCAGTGTCAAATCCTTTCCGTGGCTTTCCTATTCATGCACATGCTATCATACTGACTGGCACATGCGCTATACTTTCCACTTTGTTAACGACTTTACTTAGTACCACCCAATGACTCATGATAATACGAGTCCTATGAAATAAGCTATTTTTTTGTTAATTTACACAAGGATCTATGGTGTCTTAAAGCCATCATGTAGTAGAAAGTTGGGATAGTCTGTAAAATCAAAATTAAAGCGGGAAACAGTGATGTGTAAATCATCTGTGCCCTGTATGACATTGAAGACAACACAGCAGCACATTATTTGATGTGACACCTCATCAATTTTATTTTTTGCTCAAAACAAACATTCACTTCAATTCTAATGCTGCAACACATTCCAAAAAAGTCTGGACAGTAAAGCGTTTACCACGGTGTGATGCTGCCGTTCCTTTTCACAACACTTAAAAGACGTTTAGGACCAAGGACACCAAGTGATTCAATGTGTCAGATGTCATTTTGTCCTGTTCTTTCTGCAAACAGGTCTTAAGGTGCAACAGCTTGAGGCTCCTGCACAGTACCTTAGCTGTTCCTAGGACTGCACTCTTCTGGACAGTTTATATACACATATATCAGTCAGTATATAACAACAGTCAGTGGTTTTTCTTTATTGAGAACAT